TCGTCCTGGCCTTCCTGCTTCTCCTCCAATTGGATAGCTTCTACTGTGTATACCGCAAGCTTACCAACAGTAGAGCTACAAGTGGAGGGAGAAAGAACAGAAGAAGCAGGAAGGCAGGACGAAGATGAAGCCAAACTAAAGAACACAGCGGGACTACTCAGGACATGAGGAACTACTGAACGGGGTTCAGTATGGACAGAGGACAGTTGTTGTATGCGGTATTATCATTGTGTGTGTGTGGTGAGTGTGTTGTGTAGTGGGTTGGTGTGTGTGTGTGTGTGTGTGTGTGTGTGGCGTGTGTGAGTTGTGTGTGTGCGTTCGTGTTGTGTGTGTGTGCCCTGTTGTTTGATTGTACTACCTTATGGTCGGTTTTTTTATTGACTTGCATTTTTAGGTTTTGCAGGGGTGTGGTCGAGCTCATAGCTCTTGGCCCGCCTCTTGACTGATTGCTACTAGGTCCTCTCTCTCCCTGCCTCCATGAGCTTTGTCATAACTCGCCTTAACTATGTATGGTTCCGCCTCCACTACTTCACTTTCTAGGCTATTCACGGCTTCGTTACTCTAAGACCTGAAGAAATATTTCCTAACATTCCCTTCGATTCACTCCTGAGTCTTAAAACTTTCCAATTGTTACCTCTTCTGTGGTCTGTGTCCATCCTGGAACATCCGTTCTTTGTCACCTGTCTATTCGCGCCAGTATTTCTATATGTCGTTATCATGTCTCCCCTGACCTCCTGGCCCCTCAGTGTTCGTTCAGGCCGATCTTTTCCCTCAACCCTTTCTCCGTTGGGACATCCCAGTATCTCTGGTGGACTAGTCTTGTTGCCAACCTTTGCACTTTTCTCTAATTTCTTGACGTGCTTACATGACTAACGTGTGCGATTCCACACTGGTGCTGCATACTCAGGTTGGGTGGACGTTAATGGTATAAGAGGGCTTGAATGATCCCTTACTGACGGTACGGAAACGATATCAGTAGGTTGGAACCAGGCGCCGTTTATGACTTTGCAGCAGTTATCTGATTGATGCTGCGCCTCGGGCGATATGCTCGGTGTTATACTCACCCCAGTCTTTTTCCTTGAGTTGGGTTTGCCAGGGACTTTGAGCCATCTAAACTATCTTGTCGTCTGCTGTCTGCTTTTGCCCTTCCCCAATCTACATGACTTTTGCATTGGCAGGGTTTAAAACTCAAGGCAGCCAGCTTGATGACCAGGCTTGTAGCCTGTCCAGGTCTCTTTGTTAGTCCTGCTCTGATCCTCAATCCGATTTGATTCTTCTCATTAACTTCACATACGTCGCAAACAAAGGCCCCTTCGCGTCTACTCCCTTCCGTTATTTCATTCACATAAACCACGGCACAGCACAGGTCCAAGGATGACCCTCTGTTGGAACCCCGCGCTTGTCACAGGCGCCCCACTCTGACACCTCGTCACATACCATGTTCGTTGTTGCCCTCCCTGTCGGGTATTCTTGATCCATGGCAGATGCCTTCGCCTGTTATGTGTGCCTGATCCTATTGCTTTTGCAGTAACCTATTGTGAGGAACTGTGTCGAAGGTCTTCTTGCAGTCCTAAAATATGCAGTCGATCCACCCCTCTCTCTCTTGTCTTACTTCTGTCACCTTGTTATAAATCTCTAGTAGGTTTGTGACACAGGATTTTCCCTCCCTGAAACCATGCTGGTTGTCAATTATACACTTGTTTCTTTCCAGGTGCTCCACCACTCTCCTCCTGATGATCTTCTCCATGACCTTGCATACTATACACGTTAGTGATACAGGTCTGTAGTTTAGTGCCTCATGTCTGTCTCCCTTTTTAAAAATTGGGACTACATTTGCCATCTTCCATACCTCGGGGAGTTGCCCAGTTTCAAATGATGTGTTGAAGATCTTTGTTAACGGTACACACAATATCTCTGCTCCCTCTTTAAGGACCCACGGAGAGATGTTGTCTGGTCCCACCGCCTTTGAGGTGTCAAGTTCGCATAGCAGCTTCTTCACCTCCTTCTTGGTTATATGTACCTCATACAGCACTTGCTGGTGCACCCCCCTGCTCTGATTTCCCGGAGTCCTACTGGTTTCTACTGTAAAAACTTCTTTAAATCTTGTGTTGAGCTCCTGACATACCTCCCGGTCGTTTCTTGTGAATTCCCCATCACCCTTCCTCAGTCTGATTACCTGGTCCTTGACTGTTGTTTTCCTCCTGATGTGGCTGTACAACAGCTTCGGGTCAGTTTTGACTTTCGATGCTATGTCATTTTCGTATTGCCGCTGAGCCTCCCTTCTTATCTGTGCATATTCGTTTCTGGCTCTTCGGCTAATCTCTCTATTTTCCTGAGTTCTCTGTCTTCTGTACCTTTTCCATTCTCTAGTACACCTAGTTTTTGCCTCCCTACACCTTTGGGTACACCAAGGACTCGTTCTGTTCTTCCCATTATTTCTGTTTCCCTTGGGAAAAAAAACTCTCCTCTGCCTCCTTGCATTTTGTTGCCACATAGTCCATCATTTCTTGTACTGGTTTTCCTGTCAGTTCCCTCTCCCACTGAATGTCTTGAAAGAAGTTCCTCAAGCCTGAGTAGTTCCCCCTTTTGTAGTTTGGTGTGTGTGTGTGTGTGTGTGTGTGTGTGTGTGTGTGTGTGTGTGTGTGTGTGTGTGTGTGTGTGTGTGTGTGTGTGTGCGTTGTGTGTGTGTGTGTGTGTGTGTGTGTGTGTGTGTGTGTGTGTGTGTGTGTGTGTGTGTCTGTGTGTCTTTGTGTGTTTATGTGTGTGTGTGTGTGTGTGGGGTGTGTGTGTGTGTGTGTGTGTGTGTGTGTGTGTGTCTGTGTGTGTTTGTGTGTTTTATGTGTGTGTGTGTGTGTATGTGTGTGTGTGTGTGTGTGTGTGTGTGTGTGTGTGTGTCTGCGTGAGTGTGTGTGTGTATGTGTGTGTGTGTGTGTGTGTGTGTGTGTGTGTGTGTGTGTGTGTGTGTGTGTGTGTGTGTGTGTGTCTGCGTGAGTGTGTTGTGTGTGTGTCGTGTGAGTACACGCTCACACATGTTCCTGAGAGTGCTCGCATATTAACGTTGGCAGGGTGGCGTCTGTGCATGTGTCTCGCACACGTAGGCGCATACAAGGACACACATGGATTTTGAAACAGGTTAAGTGTCAAAAACTACCGCTAAGTAGGAACATCAGTGCGCTGAGAGACCATTAATAGCTTTATTGAACAAAAATGAATGTATCAGCAGTGTACTGATACCTCAGTGGCAGTAAGTCCCTTTGATTTTTTGGCGGGTTAACTTAGGTAATTTACACTATATTATAACTGTACTTATGTGTACATGTGTCTAAATAAACTTACTTAAACTCTGTTCAATATGATGACTTCACAGTACGACAAAACATAGGGCTCCTTTAAGGTGTTGAACTGTCAGCCTGAGCTGGCAGACTTCAGTAGTGTCAGCCTGAGCTGTTAGACTTCAGTAGTGTCAGCCTGAGCTGTTAGACTTCAGTAGTGTCAGCCTGAGCTGTTAGACTTCAGTAGTGTCAGCCTGAGCTGGGAGACTTCAGTAGTGTCAGCCTGAGCTGTTAGACTTCAGTAGTGTCAGCCTGAGCTGGCAGACTTCAGTAGTGTCAGCCTGAGCTGTTAGACTTCAGTAGTGTCAGCCTGAGCTGTTAGACTTCAGTAGTGTCAGCCTGAGCTGTTAGACTTCAGTAGTGTCAGCCTGAGCTGTTAGACTTCAGTAGTGTCAGCCTGAGCTGGGAGACTTCAGTAGTGTCAGCCTGAGCTGGGAGACTTCAGTAGTGTCAGCTTGAGCTGGGAGACCACCACGTCTCTCAATGCTGGACCTGTTTTTCTTACCTCCACTCAACAAAAGACTGCCCTACAAAAGATATGAAATTCTGTTCCACCTGTGGTAATGAGGGTCACGACTCTAGGACATGCTCTTCCACCGCTACTCTCAAGTGTCTAAACTGCAAGAATAACCACCACACTCTCGCAGCAAAATTTCCCACCCGTCGTGATATCATCAAAAAGAACATAGAAGCAGATCAGAAAAAATCTCCATCCAGATCACCCACGTATGCAGCTATCACAAAACTGCAGGCTGACACCACCAAAATCCTGAAATCAACCCAGCACTCCACCACCAGCATCTCCACACCAGCTTGTGACTCAACAAAAATACAGTACTGCTTACTGTATGCTCACATGCACAACATGGCAGCACCAGGCTCCTTCAATACTACCATCAACGAACTCTTCAGACTAAATAACATGCCGGCATTTACCTTCCCAGACTCTCCAACTTCTGCTGACATAATCAAGCACACCCAAGCACCAGTAAACATCACCACTCCAATAACCACAACACAAGATACAACGCAAGATACAACAACAACAACAACAACAACAACAACAACAAACTAACTCCACCGTAGCCACCGACCAATCAGCAGCCTCACCTGATCTACCCGAGACCGCCACCACCTCTGCCGACCTACACCTCGAATCTCCATCTCAGTCACCAATTGCAAAAAAAGCTAAAATACATCCACCTGTGAGTCGTCCACAAGTAACTTCATACCCACAAGAAACAACGAGAAAAGACCTGACCCTCAGAACCACAGCACCTCTCACCCTGTACACAAGTAAACAAGACAGCCTCATCCTGCATGCGGCCCAAACTATATACAGCATCTGTATAATCCTCCGGGTTTAGCGCTTCCCCCTTGATTATAATAATAATAATATATACAGCATAGGAGATGGCCACGTCAAGTACACTGTTGCACGAGGAACCGACCCACATACCACCAACGCCCTACTAGAAGACCTAGGCAATGACAAACAGCACTCGGTAGAACTTATCCTGCTCTCAAAACCAGCATACAGAAAAATCACAAACGGCTTCATCACTACGTTGTATGATCGCATATAAGAAGTCACGTGATCACCAGCTGCCGCCTCCAGACTGCCTCTCGCCTCGCGCCAGTCTCCACCAATCACAAGCCAGTCAACACCTCACGCTGATGAGATGCACATAGCAGTGCTCCCGTGTCATCGATCAAGCTTGCCCGTGTATCCTGACTCTCAAGCTCCTTCCTGCAAATTCATTCACTTTCAGCTCTGCTGCTGGGTCAAGCCCTGGCTCTTTCTCTAAGACTAAGGACACTCCTCTCAAGATCTACTCTTCGTCTGTCCAGTCTTCCCCGCTCACCCCTTCTTGGGGTCTTACCTAGAATCATAGTAGTAGTAGTAGTGGGATAGTGGATGGAGTTGGTATGTTGTGGGGGGGCAGGGCCGGCCAGGTTTATAACATAATATGGGTAGGACAGACGTTTGCTCAGCCAGTTTGCTAGTGACCCTTCCCGGGTAAACACCTCCAGCACCAACCACCGCACCTCTTCCATACCCACCTACCCAGCCAGCCAGCCAACTAGCTATCCACGCCCTTCAGGAGCGCTCTCATAACCTCTCAAAAGCTCCCAACCTGTTTCTTAAGATTAACGAATCAAAGTTACACCCCATCCAGCACGCATTTCCCGTATCAGTGCCCCACTGTTATACACCTTATTAACGTGTAACATACCAGACACTTTTATATACAAAAATATATGAAGATAAATTTTCTTAGCATCTCAGGAAATTCACAGGAGACTCCGCCAGTGTGGGGAGACACCTGGTGTGTCTCATCATAATGCAGAGACATACTTAAATAGCTGCAATCAAACCACGGAACGGGTCGGGGCCTGAATACTTGAAGGAACGTGCTAGTTTATTGAGAGTATTGCGAGTCTGCTGAGTGTTTGACGAAGATCCACTTGGAGCGTGAGAGCCCTAGGGAGCGCTTCATAAACCATGGGCTCCGTTAATGTGGAAGAAATGCTTTCCCTGAGAAGACTTGGGACCCTCTTTTACCTTGTTAGTCCCAGCAACTCCACCTTTGAGAAGGTTGAAGATGTTCCCAACTACACCAATGAGGTAAGACTGAGATGGGATACACATGTACGCACGGGACCAGGAGCTATTACTCGACCCCTGCTGCTACAAATATATGAGACACTACCATTGTTATAATTACCATTTCTAAAGGACAGCTGTTATGAGCTGACTTCACGATCTTGTACATGGTAGGCAGTGTGGCAAGTAGTGTGCCAGGCAGTGTGGAAGGCAGTGTGCCAGGCAGTGTGGAAAGCAGTATGGCAGGCAGTGTGGCAGGCAGTGTGGCAAGCAGTGTACCAGGCAGTGTGGAAGCCAGTGTGGCAGGCAGTGTGGCAGGCAGTGTGGCAGGCAATTTGGCAGGCAGTGTGGCAGGCAGTGTGGCAAGCAGTGTGGAAGGCAGTGTGGAAGGCAGTGTGGAAGGCAGTGTGGCAGGCAGTGTGGCAGGCAGTGTGGCAGGTAGTGTGGCAGGCAGTGTGGCAGGCAGTGTGCCAGGCAGTGTTACTAGGCACTGTTCTACTCCCTGTGACTTTACTCTCGCTCCTCTCACACACATACACTTCCCTCTCCTTTTTTTCCTATATCATTCTCATTGTCTCACCCACTCGCTGCATTGCAGACATTTCTTATCCCAGTCTAGTTTCCTCACACATCCACTCACTGTACTGAAGGTCATCTCATTCTAGTTTTCTCATATACTACTCGCTGTATTACAGGCCATCCCGTGGTTCATGTTGACAGTGGTGCTGGAACAATTATGTAGACTGTTGCTGGGCAAGAAGGTTGCTCAAGCGAACGATCTAGTCTCAATGAGCACGGCGATCCTCTACGAGTCTGTCAAGTAAGTTAGAATTAATGTGAGTGAACCATAGTAGTGAACCCCAGTAGTGAGCCCCAGTGGTGAACACCCAGTAGTGAACCCCAGTAGTGAACCTCAGTGGTGAACCCCAGCAGTGAACCCCAGTAGTGAACCCCAGTAGTGAGCCTCAGTGGTGAACCCCAGTAGTGAACCCCAGTAGTGAGCCCCAGTGGTGAACCCCCAGTAGTGAACCCCAGTAGTGAACCCCCGTAGTGAACCCCAGAAGTGAACCCAAGTAGTGAACCCCAGTAGTGAAACACAGTAGTGAACCACAGTATGAACCACAGTAGTGAACCACGGTAGTGAACCACAGTAGTGAATTCCAGCAGTGAACCCCAGTAGTGAACCCCAGTAGTGAACCCCAGTAGTGAACCACAGTAGTGAACCACAGTAGTGAACCCCAGTAGTGAACCACAGTAGTGATCCCTAGTAGTGAACCCCATTAGAGAACCCCAATAGTGAACCCCAGGAGTGAACTCCAGTAGTGAACCACAGTAGTGAACCACAGTAGTGAACCCCAGTAGTGAACCACAGTAGTGAACCCCAGTAGTGAACCCCAGTAGAGAACCCCAGTAGAGAACCCCAGTAGTGAACCCTAGTAGAGAACCCCAGTAGTGAACCCCAGTAGTAAACCGCAGTAGAGAACCACAGTAGTGAACCGCAGTAGTGAACCCCAGTAGTGAACCCCAGTCCCTTCCACTGACGTCTATATAAACGCCAGTCTTCTTGCCTTTGCTCCAGATTCTCCTCCACCACGATGCTGTGAACACTAACTCCAAGGCCGAGGGACTGATTACCTCATCTTTTGTATATAGTTCTACTGTCTTCCTATTATGTCCTAGAATCTGTATTGATAAAGCCACTGGATGGCGAAACGTCTACAATAAAGATATCCAGATGTTGCACATGTGTCTTAACTTTCATATTGTCGGTATTTTATACCTTTCTTGCACAACTTGTCAGACACTGCAACATCATGGAATCTTGGTTCAGAGGACATCTACAAGACCTTCTTCACGGCTGCTGCAACTAACCCATCTCTTTGGGAAGGACCTACTTCCACTGGGGAATCCCGCCTACCAGTGACTGCCCTTGTCTGCTGCCCGTCCCTTCCACTGACGTCTATATAAACGCCAGTCTTCTTGCCTTTGCTCCAGATTCTCCTCCACCACGATGCTGTGAACACTAACTCCAAGGCCGAGGGACTGATTACCTCATCTTTTGTATATAGTTCTACTGTCTTCCTATTATGTCCTAGAAACTGTATTGATAAAGTCACTGGATGGCGAAACGTCTACAATAAAGATATCCAGATGTTGCACATGTGTCTTAACTTTCATATTGTCGGTATTTAATACCTTTCTTGCACAACTCGTAAAAACTCTTCACTGTTTTCAGTAACCTACCTCCTATACCATACTCCTGCAACATCTGCCACATTGCCCCCCTATCCACCCTATCAGACGCCTTTTCCAATCCATAAATGCCACAAAAACCTCTTTAGCCTTATCAAAATACTGTTCACCTATATGTTTCACTGTAAACACTTGGTCTACACACCCCCTACCTTTTCTAAAGCCTCCTTGTTCATCTGCTATCCTACTCTCCATCTTACTCTTAATTCTTTCAATAATAACTCTACCATACTCTTTACCAGGTATACTCAACAGACTTATTCCCCTATAATTTTTGCACTCTTTTATCCGCTTTGCCTTTATACAAAGGAACTATACATGCTATCTGCCAATCCCTAGTTACTTTACCTTCTTCCATACATTTATTAAATAATAGCACCAACCACTCCAAAACTATATCCCTACCTGCTTCTAACATTTGTATCTTTAACCCATCAATCCCGGCTGCCTTACCCCTTTTCATTCTACCCACTGCCTCACGAACTTCTCCCACACTCGCAACTGGCTCTTCCTCACTTCTACGAGATGTTATTCCTCCTTGCCCTGTGCACGAAATCACAGCTTCCATATCTTCATCAACATTTACCAATTCTCCAAAATATTCCCTCCATCTTCCCGATACCTCTAACTCTCCTCTCTTATTTTTTACTGTCAAATCCATTTGTTCCCTAGGCTTCCTCAACTTGTTAATCTCATTCCAAAAACTTATTTTCAACAAAATTTCTTGATAACATCTCGCCCACTCACTCATTTGTTCTCTTTTTGCAATGCTTCACCACTCTCTTAATCTCCCTTTTTTTCTCCATATACTCCTCCCTCCTTGCATCACTTCTACTTTGTAAAAACCTCTTATATGCTAACTTTTTCTCCCTTACTACTCTCTTTACATCATCATTACACCAATCGCTCTTCTTCCCTCCTGCACCCACTTTCCTGTAACCACAAACTTCTGCTGAGCACTCTAACACTACATTTTTAAACCTACCCCATACATCTTCGACCCCATTGCCTATACTCTCACTAGCCCATCTATCCTCCAATAGTTGTTTATATATTTCCCTAACTGCCTCCTCTTTTAGTTTATAAACCTTCACCTTTAGCTGTAGTTACAGCTAAAAAGTGATCTGATATATCTGTGGCCCCTGTATAAACATGTACATCCTGAAGTCTACTCAAAAGTCTTATATCTATCAATACATAGTCCAACAAACTACTGTCATTATGCCCTACATCATATCTTGTATACTTATTTATCCTCTTTTTCTTAAATATGTATTACCTATAACTAAACCCCTTTCTTTACAAAGTTCAATCAAAGGGCTCCCATTATCATTTACACCTGGCACTCCAAACTTACCTACTACACCCTCTCTAAATGTTTCTCCTACTTTAGCATTCAGGTCCCCTACCACAATTACTCTCTCACTTGGTTCAAAAGTTCCTATACATTCACCTAACATCCAAAATCTCTCTCTCCTGTACACTCCTCTCTTCTCCAGGTGCATACACGCTTATTAGGACCCACTTTTCGCATCCAACCTATATTTTAATCCACATAATCCTTGAATTTACACATTTATATTCTCTCTTCTCCTTCCATAACTGATCCTTCAACATTATTGCTACCCCTTCCTTAGCTCTAACTCTCTCAGATACTCCTGACTTAATCCCATTTATTTCTCCCCACCGAAACTCCCCTACCCCCTTCAGCTCTGTTTCACTTAGGGCCTGGACATCCAACTTCTTTTCATTCACAACACCAGCAATCATCTCGGTGTATAATAATGTATTATTATTATATACGGAGAGGTGTATGTTTTTCATGTATATATGCTGAGAGGTTTACACTAACCGCTATTTTGGGGATTAACGGGATTAACGAACCCTTGACTAGTGTTGAGAAGGCTGCATGCAGCCTGAACCTCCATCGTATAGCTTTTAAACCCACTTAATCAAACAGCGAACGACGTTTCACCTATTACTCACCTAAATGTACTCACATAATTGTGTTTGCAGGGGTCGAGTCTCAGGACCTTAGCTCCCCCTTGCCTCTCTGCTAGCCGCTAATGGGGCCTTAGTACCTCCCCCCACCTCCCCACCCCGAGGGTCAAAGCCTAACTTCAACTTTGCAACACACACACAATAGACCATACGCAGTTTCAAGTTAGGGTATGAGCAAGTCCTCGAGGCTAGAAATCTCACAGCTGCTTTATTGTAGTTAAAAAAGTGGGGCCCATGAGCTATAATTAGACCCCAGTGAAAACCCCTAGGTGAGTACCCACAAGAAAAACATTAATCGGATGCACTAAAGAGGACAAACAGTGGAGATATGATCGTGACGTGAATGATCCCAGATGATGGTACAATAGTATAATTAGCAATTATTCTCTCCCTTGAAAATCATTTGTGCGCTAAATACCTGTAACAGTACACATATAAACGTTCGTAGTAGAGTGGTGTCTCTTGTAGTTCTCCTCACGAGGCTGAATAATATTAATAATAAACATAATAATAATCATAAAAATAATAACAGCAACATTATTATTATCATCATTATTAGGAAGGACTTTTGCCAGTAGGATTTACAGAGCTTGAGGAACAGGAAGTAATGAGATTATACAGTATTGTGAAATCTTATTACGTGAATCGTTACACACACACACACACACACACACACACACGCAAACACATACTCACACACACACACACACACACACACAAAACACATACACACACACACACACCACACACACCACACACACCACGCAACACATACACACGCACACACACACACCACACACACACACACACCCCACACACACACAACACACACACACACACACACACACACACACACACACACACAACGCACACACACGCACACACACACACACACACACACACACACAAAACACACACACACACAACACACACACGCACACACACCACACACACACACACACACACACACAAAACACAACACACACACACACACACACACACAACACACAGGAGCTAAGACTCGACCTGCAACCACAAATAGGTGAGTACACACACACACACACACACACACACACACAACACACACACACACAAACAACACACACACACATCCACTTTACACAACACACACACACACACACCACACACACACACACACACACACAAACACACACACACAAAACACCACACAACACACAACACACACACACACACACACACAAACCCCACACACACACACACACAACACTCACACACAAGAGGCAACAAACTACAGACCTGTGTCTCTGACATGTATTGTGTGCAAAGTCATGGAGAAGATTATCAGGAGGAGAGTGGTCGAACACCTGGAAAGGAACAAGATTATAAATGAAACCAGCATGGGTTCAGGGAAGGCAAATCTTGTATCACAAACCTCCTGGAGTTTTATAACAAGGTAACAGAAGTAAGACACGAGAGAGAGGGTTGGGTAGATTGCGTTTTCCTAGACTGCAGGAAGGCCTTTGACACAGTTCCCCAAAAGAGATTAGTGCAGAAGCTGGAGGATCAGGCACACGTAAAGGAAGG